AAAATACCAGACACCTAAACCAAAGGGAACAGTGTATTTGCCTCACAGTTCATGGAGATTTCTTTTGATACCCAGTTGGCTCCGAGGCAGAGAGGAAAAGTTCATGGCAGCAGATGATGACAAAGGCATCAAGACCAGCGTGGGAAAGCAGTAGCAAGTCATTGTCCCTTTTCTACTTTATTCAGGCTGTGATCCCAAGAATGGGTGTAGCACTTTACCAATAATCCCGAAATAGGGCCATCAATCAATCAAAAGCTCTAGGGAAAAAAATTCTATTTCCAACCAGATAGCTCAGCAGACTGAAGAGATTGCTTCAGCAGAGTGCAGCAGCAGGGGTTCAATCCTTGGCATGCTGTGCCGGCCCTGCCCCCAGGGCACACTAAAACAGCCATTGAGACTGGGCATGGTGGTGCACACCAGTAATCCCAGAGCTTGGGAGGCTGAAAACAGGATAATCACTATGAATCCCTATGAGACCTTGTAGCTCTGTCCTAAATTTAAAAAGAAAACAAGCTCTAGAAATCCACCCCCAATAGCATGAGGCTGTGTGGAAACATCTAGGCACAGACCATGACACTGTCCAAAGTTGGTTTATCTGGGCTGGGGAGAGGGCTCAGTAGATTAAGTGCTTCCCTGGCAAGTTCAAGGGCCTGAGTTCAATCCCCCATTCTGAAAAATGAAAGAAAAAATGCAGAAATGATTTTCCTTAACACATCCTGTGAACTTTCTTGTGTTTCCCTTATATTTTCTCATGAATCTTCTAGTAAAACAAAATACGAACTGTTAGTCTTTTGCATTGCATCCCACTGCACTGCCTCCAGGGCTCTAACCTGCCATAAGAGATACATACAGCCCTACATTGGTCGGGCACACCTTCCAGGGCCAGATATAAACCTGTAGTGGCAAGTTAGACTTCGCTGCTGAATCTATGTACCCTATACATCGGTAACAAAGCTTCCTCCCCGTTCTCTCTCGCTCTCGCTCTCGCTCTCTTGCTCTCTCCTCTTGCCTCATCCTCCTCTTCCTTTTGTCTCTTTCTCTGGTCATGAAAATTTTTCTCCTCCTGGACTGTTATATCTCCTGCAACAACTCACAATCCCCAAAGTATTACTTGGAAACATGCCTTAATCTCACACAGAGAGATACACAGCATCAGGGCTAAGAACTTGGGATTCAAAACCACTGTGTGTGTGTGTGTGTGTGTGTGTGTGTATGTGTGTGTGTTAACTGTGGAGTCTTAGTGTATAGCTAAAAACTA